TAAAAATAAGTTGGGTAGACTGAATAACAAATGTTGAGGTCCTCAGAAAGATGACAAAGGAAATGGAAATCATGAATACGATTAAGATAAGAAAGTTACAATATCTCGGCCACGTTATGAGAGGGGATAAATATGTGTTACTACAAACCATAATGCAGGGATTAAAAGTATCAGGGAAAACAAAGTATTGGAAGAAGACGCATCTCCTGGCTCAACAATCAGAGAAAGTGGTATAATTGTAGTTCCATCGACTTGTTCAGAGCTGCAATCTCAAAAGTGAAAATAACTGTGATGATTACCAACCTCCTTAGAGGAGACGGTACCTAAAGAGTAGACGGAATAAAAATTTTTGTTTTTTCTAAGAAACTCAATATTTCGCTATTTATTTGATAGCTTCATCAGGAGTACTCTATAAAAATTGACCATCACAAAAAAATGACGTACAAATAGATTAAAAAACAATCACAGAAATTAAAAGATTTCACAAAAAAAAAACTGACATTGAAGTACTTTTTCACTTCACTTCGTCTTTTTGGCTTGCATACAAGTGCATCCGCCAGCACATTTCTTGTGTGTTGCAGTTTGTCTTGCTCTTAGCAATACTGCAGCACTTCTCTATAAAAAAGAAGATTACATAATTAGTGATTTCTTAAACTATGAAAATACGATACGATGGCAGTTGTCAGTAGACGCAAACTGACGTAACATTACTCTCCATGTCTCCATAACTTTTTATGTTATTTTGTGATGAGGTTATGTAATGTAGGCGAGTTATGTACTCCATTAATGTTTCTGTTATTTCCTCTTAAAAAATAGATGATTCCTTTAATTCCTTTATGCTTAAATATATAGCAAATATATATGCGTTGATATAAACCTTGTGATAAAAGGTGTTAGTTTAGACAAATAGTACAACATAGGGTTATAACTCTTCTCGCTCCGGGGTAACGGCAGAGCCAACACAACCAGAAAGGTTACCTCGGTTAGACTAGAACCCAGGAAAGTATAGGATAGAAAGATATGGACTAATTGAGTTTGTATTTCATAAATTTAGCTTGTTTATATTTAAATGAGTAACAATTAATTTTAATTGATCACAAGTTAGATTGAAAAGGATATCTTGTATATTGAAACTATCGGGTACCTACTCCTAATGTTTTTAGTTCATTCCTTAGGTCAAATTGTGCGCCTTTTCTTATGGGGCAATGTAAAAGTATATGGTCAATGTCATCCTCTGTACCACATTTACAATACGGATGCTCTATTATTTTTAGTCGGTATATTTTTATATATTTTTATATTTTTTATTTATATTTATATATTTTTATATATATTTCCAGCATATATCATGTTCCTTTCTTATTTTGCTTTTCAATATTGGCCAGATATCTGAATAGTTTATTTTCATACTTTGAGGTATGTTGAGTGATCTCCCAATATTTGCTAACTTATCTGCATATTCATTTCCCTCTATTCCTGAATGTCCATGGATCCTGACATCGAAGTATGTAAAATATTGAATGTCAAGATTAAACTGTCTTAAGCATGTTCGGTACAGCACTACGATAAAAAAAAATTAAAATTACTTCAATTGTAAAAATGACAATAAAAGAAACGTTAGAAGAATGATAGTTTTTTTATGACTAATTAAGGTTATTATAGTTGTTATTAAGGTGCATGTTGGCAATTTTGACTATTTATATATTTATAAATATTTAATATTTTTTTATTAATAAGTATATATATATATTTATATATATATATATATATATATATATATATATATATATATATATATATATAAGGAAAAGAAGTCTTTGCTGACAACGTTAGAAAACGGAGTTTTGAGGTTTATTGGGATTTATTCAGCGGTGAAATAAGTGTACTCTTTTAACTAAGTTTCAAGCTTTCGAAAATGTTTATTTTCATCATCAGGAAAAAACTGAAAATAAAGTGCGACTGTTAGTAAAGCATCCTCGAAATTAGTTGTAGTGAATGGTTGTAAAAATCGAGAAAAAACTTACGTTAGTGAGGTTCGTCTTTCGTGGATGTGTTCACTTACAGGTGACAATTTTACGCACCACTCATTGATTGAGTCAAAATTTAAATATTTAAAATATATAAAAATTGCATGGTGTAAAAGACCAAACTTAATAAATTATTATACTTTAACACATAAGAAAAAGACAGTTAACAAGTTTTCAACGGCCACGTGTGCCGGCCAACTGTTGAATGATAAGTTAAGAGTAACTGTCATTCCTGGACATGGCAAATGACAGTACTTCTTCTTATTTCTTTGTCTTATGTAGTACTACTATTATTACACATCAAATTTTAACAAAGGTTGTATTAGAAAAACAGAATTTTATAATGAAACTGTGAAAAAACAACGAAACCTGGAAACTTTACAATGAATCAGTCGTTGAAACATCATTGAATTGTGATGATCCATCCAAATATAATAGGTAGGAGTAAATAGTGCTCAATTGATTAATGTCACTCCTTTTGTTCATTGCGCTTGTTTTGTTCATTTTGTTCATTTCTAAAAAAAGTCTTTTATTGTAATTGGACTCAGTAGCTAAAATTTTGACTGAATCGTAATTCATAATATGATGTTCTTTATTTACATGTTCTGCAAGTGCAGATCTTTCTGGATATAGTCTGCTGTCGCTACGATGACTGATTAGGCGACTGCCTAGGTTACGTGTGGTTTGTCCCACATATACTAAATTACAGTTATTACAAGGGATCTGGTAAACAACGTTGGAACAATCTTTGATGTTACTTTTATCTTTAACCTTAGAATAGATGGATCTTACAGTTAATGAAGTTTTATACGCCATTTTTAAATTGGTGACATCTTGAAAAAGTCTTGTCAGTCTGGGTGTTATGCTTTTTATGTATTTCATTGAAGTATATGAGCAATTGGTATTGTGTTCTCCATTTGTGACATTGATTTGTATCTCATCATTTCGGCGTGCTATGTTCGGGGTCAAACTAAATAGAATCTTGGTGACTAAGGGTTTTGGATATGAATTGTCCATGAAAAGGTTGAACAGGATTCTCAGGTTCTTCTGATGGAAAGAAGGGTCACTGATGGATATAATTCTAGCCTTCATTTGTTTAAGTAGGTTGATTTTGATTGAATGTCTATGGTATGACCAATAGTTGAGGAAGCGTCCAGAACTATGAGGTTTTCTATGCCAGTCGATAACAAGGGAGTTATTTGGGGTTCTAATGAACCGGGTGTCAAGAAAGGGGACTGAGCATAGATCGTCCTCATGTTCGATTGTGAACTGTAGTAGAGGATCATACCTATTGAATACATTTAAGATTTCTGTGGATCCATTGCTGGGGATAGCTAGGATTAAGTCATCCACATACTTTTTAACAAAAGGAATATGAAAGGACAATTCTGGGATAACCATATCTAGTAGATGATCCATCACATAGCAGGCCAAAATGGGAGAGATAGTAGCTCCCATAGGAGTTCCTTGTGTTTGTTTAAACACAGTATTGTTGAATGTGAAATAGGTGTTATTAAACAGAAAAGAGATGAGTTTTTTGAAGTACTCCAAGTTAATATTACAGTGAGAACTGATAAAATTCCAATTGTTTTCAATCGCTATTAAAGCTGCATCTAAGTGTACATTGGTGAATAATGAAACTACATCTAGACTGACAATCACATAGCCATCAGGTAATTGATAGTTGTTAAAGTTATTGAAAACATCAAACGAATTTTTTATGTAATATTCATTCGACACATACGCGTTGGATAAGATTTCAGTTAAAAAAGATGCTAATAAGTTGGTGGGGGCACCAATACATGCAACAATGGGACGAACTGCAAGCTGTGGTTTGTGAATTTTGGGCAAAGCGTAAAATTTAGGTATAACACCCTTGTAGCTAGTTAGTTTTTTCTTTGTAGCTTCATCTATCTGCCTTGAGTTACACAATTCCTTAATGAGGTTGTTACATCTGGTTTGAACATTGTTGGTTGGATCTCTGTTCAACCTTTCATAAACATTATCGGAATTTAGCAATTCAAGACATAGATCTAGATATCTCTGCTTTTCCAGAACTACAGTTACATTACATTTGTCTGAAGGCATGACAATGATGTTAGTGTTTTCACTAAGAAACTTGCGAGTTTTTTGTAACAAAGCTCTGAAAAAGTTAAAGTTATTTTTGTTACTGTTTTTATGTAAGTAATCAGTAATAATGTATGTTGACCTAGCTATAAGTATGTCCCTCTGATGCACATCAGTGACAGAATGTAAGATTGTTTCAACGTCAGCTAACATATCCTTAATAGGGATATCTTTCCCTAAGATAGGTTCTATGCTGAACTTAGGACCCAAAGACAAAAATCTAGAGATATCATCTGGTAAAGTTACATTAGAGAGGTTCTTAATCCAACCCGGTTTTGTCTTTAGTTTTAAGTTCAGCTCAAGATTGAATAGCCTATTATATTTGTTAGTGTTACTTAATTTGGTTTTGTGAAAAATTCTGTTATATGACACTTGTTGTTTACTAGAAAAGTTATTAAAAATGAATTCAGAAGTTAGTTTAATGATGTTTCTTTTTGATTTAGTTAAGTTGGACTCTAAACTGTTAATGACTTTAATACAATTAGAAATTTCTAAGTTCAAGATTCTGTTTTCTAACCTGGTAAATTGTAAAGTGTCCTTGTTCGACTGGATGTCCTGTCTTTGCAACAATTTAGTGATGTATGAAGTGGAATATATATATTAATAATATATTAATAATATATTAATATATATTATGTATATTGTGTACCTATATTACTGTAAACGGCAAGGTTGCCCTAAATATTATTTAGGGCCAGTGCATAAACATCATATTGATCGATAAGAATCATTGACTTTATTAAACAATGGTTTATAGTACTTTTTGTTGTGTTTATTGTTTTCTTAATTTTTATAAATTTGTTAATAGTTAAGGGTAATAAATAATCATGTTTATTTGTTTTTTTCAGAATTATGGTCAGCTCAAGTGGATATTGCGAACAGGGAGCTCCTAGTTCTTCCAGGCCAAAACGCAACATTTTTGTGTCGTGTAGGAGTAGCTTTACAGTACTGCCGAATAGAACTACCTGATGGAACCAGTTTTAACTTAAATAAACAGCATACGTCACCTACTGAGGTAAGCTTTCAAATTGTAAAAAAATTAATAGAGTTCTGAAATTATGGTTTTCTGGCATTTTTATATTGACTACTATATTTAATAATAATAAAGGAATTTTAACAAAAAATACTTTATGTTAGAAGTTTTGATTTCCACCTCGAATATCGTTATTTTTTTCTTCTTTTATTTCTTATGCACTATAAGAGCGTCGGATCTTGTTGGTAGCTATGCATCTTCTACCCATTTCTTCCACGCTTTCCTGCATTCTGCCATTTCCTTTATCTGTTAAACTATTCTCGCTCTCCTTGCTACGATTTTCTGGGTTTGTTCTATCCACATCTTTCTAGATCTATGCAATAGTCTTCATTTTTTTACTAGTCTCTTCTCTTCTTGTCCATTCTATAATTTGTCCATCTTCTTCTTATGGTGCCCTATCCAATTAGTGGATGTTGGCGACAATTCTGGCATACTCCTCTCGATCTTGTGTGGCTCTAAAGAGTGCATGGGCATCGAGGTTTGTCCAATGCCTTATGTTTTTAAGCCATGAGTATATCTTTCTTCCGATGCCACGTTTTCCTTCTATCTTCCCTTCCCTAATAAGCTTTAAGAACTGGTACTTGTAATTTCGAAATGTATGACCCAGATAAGCAGTTTTTCTTCTTTTTATTATTGGCAGCAATTCTCGTTCTCTGCCCATTCGATTTAATACTTCAACATTTGTTGTGTGATCTGTCCAGGGAATTTTAAGTAGTCTTCTAAATACCACATTTCAAAGGCCTCCAATCAGTTCATCACATTGGCCTTTATGGTCCAGGTTTCTACACCATATAGCAGTATGGAGTAAATGTAACAGTTTACAAAGCGATATCGAAGCGTTAAGTTAAGTCTGCTGTTGCTTAGCTAGGTTCTCATATTAGTAAATGCTGTTCTGGCTTGCTCAATCCTGCTACGTATTTCTATGTCTGGATCTAAATCTTTAGTTATCCAACTACCGAGATATCTGAACTTAGGGACCGTTTGGATGTTCTTATTGTTAACTCTTATATTTAATTGCATATATCGTGTTCTACTAACCACCATTACCTTCGTCTTGTCTGTATTAATCTTCTATTAATGTGTCCATACCAGTTCAGTTTCCTTTTTTCATTTTTTTTTTCTCTATTTTTTCCTCTTTTAGCTTGTGTCTGATCTTTTTGTTTCTTTCCCTGTCTAGTTTCGTCCCTCCAGCTATATTTTCAGTTGTTTCATTTCTGCGACATTTATGTGGGTAGCGGGTAGACACTTTTCTACGATCCTGGTGGAAAATAGGTCTACTTCAGGAAAGCGCCCTGCCCACGCGAGCCATGCTTTGCTCTCAATTCCTTACTGAGAGAAATCATGTCCCATTCCTTTATCCTTCCAAAATCTAGTTTCCTACTTCCTATCCCTCCCTGGTGAAGGGCAGCAGCGATCATCAGTACCAGTTCAAGGCGTAGAGGAAATGATCCTGGACCGGCTTGAAACTGGATTACCACAAGCATGACTGGAACAGTTTAAATGGTTGTGGTACTGCGATGGGGAAGGCAACGGAAAAACCACCCCATTATATTATCCACAAATCTAAATGGCAGACGAGAAAAAGAAAATGGCCCTCAGTCCGGGGCACCCCTTAAATGGGGAGAGGGTGCGAAGAATCCCCCGTCAACTACCCAAGAAAGTGGACAGAGAATACAAATATACGACCGAATAGTACGCATTGCCACCTGGAACGTACGCAGCTTATTTATGTCCGGGAAACTGGCAAACACTGAAGCCGAGATGATAAGACTGAAAATAGACATCTTGGGGATGAGTGAAGTAAGATGGCCTGGTTCAGGAGTACAAAAAACAAAACATGGATACATATATTATTCAGGTGGAACTGACCCAGAACATCGATATGGAACTGCTATATTAGTGTCGAACAAAATTGCTGAATCAGTCACAGACTTCATCCCTCTAAATGATAGAGTAGCAATGTTGAAATTACAAACAACTCACAGAAAACTAAATATTATTCAGGTCTATGCTCCAACAAGTGACAAGTCAGACGAAGAAATCGAAAAATTTTATAACAACATAGATGAAATAATGCGACTGACAAAAAGAGGTGAGATAACGATGATCATAGGTGACTTTAACGCTAAAGTTGGTCGTGGTGCTGAAGGAGATCACATAGGAGCATACGGTCTAGGTACCAGGAATAATAGAGGACGTAGACTTGTACAATTCTGCGTAGAAAACAATCTGTTAATAGCCAATACCATCTTCAAACAACATCCTAGAGCTATACACATGGAAATCACCTGCAGACAGAAAAGACAAATTGTTAGAAATCAAATTGACTTCATTTTGCTCAATAACACATTTAAGAAGTACATACAATCTACGAAACATACCCTGGAGCTGATATACATAGCGATCACAATCCAGTTATAATGGATTTTAGATTAAAAAGATTTCTCAAAGTCAAAAAGAAAACAGTGACAAGAAAAATAGACATCTCACAACTGAAAAACCCTGAACAGAAAAAAGAAATAAGTATCAAGCTTGAGGAAGAAATAAAAACGATCGAAAACTTGGTACAGACAGACATTGAAGTGACATGGACTGCTCTAAAAACAAAAATAACAAAAATACAAGAAGAAGACATCGGGTTCATAAAACACAACAAAAAACAAGAATGGATAACGCAAGAGATCATGGACCTCATGGACGTAAGACGAAAACATAAAACAAGCCCAATAGAATACAAGCGAATCAATAAAATCATTAGAAAAAAGTGCAGGGAGGCGAAAGAAAACTGGATGTCAACAAAATGCCTAGAAATCGAACAACTTCAAGAAAAATACGACACCTTTAATATTCATAAAAAAGTAAAAGAAATGACAGGTAGACACAAAAAGAGACAAGCAACAATATTAAAAAATGAAAATAACGAAATAATTATGGGTACAGAAGACAAACTAAAGAGATGGAAAGTATACATACAAACTCTTTTTGATGACGATAGACCTTGTTCTCCACCATCCACAGATAATCGAATAAATGAAAAAGGCCCAGAAATAACCAAAGAAGAAGTGATTCACGCAGTAAAATCTCAGAAAGATGGAAAAGCCACCGGTCCAGACAATATCAATGTCGAAATACTAAAACTAATTGCAGATAACGAAAGTAAAAGCCTAGACTTAATAACAGCACTATTCAATAAGATATATGACACAGGTAAAATACCAACAGACTGGCTAAAATCAACATTCGTAGCATTACCAAAAAGATCGAATTCCTCACAATGCGATGATTATCGAATATTAAGCTTGATGTCTCATGTCCTTAAAACTTTTCTCAGAATTATACATACACGAATTTACAAGAAGTGCGAGTTTCAGATGAGTGACACTCAATTCGGATTTCGAAACGGATTGGGAACACGAGAGGCTCTGTTTGCTTTAAATGTGTTAACGCAACGATGCAGAGACATGAATGTAGATGTATATGCATGTTTTATTGACTATCGAAAAGCATTTGACTGTGTTAACCATCAAAAGATGATCGAAATTCTGAGAACAACTGGAGTTGACGAACAAGACTTGCGAATTATCTCAGAACTATACTGGCACCAAACGGCAACAATTGAAATAGAGCACACAACATCCGAAGATATACAAATCCGACGAGGAGTGAGACAGGGTTGCGTCTTATCACCCCTTCTGTTTAATTTATATTCGGAGTCTATATTCAGAGAAGCATTAGATCAGGTCCAAGGCGGAGTTAAGATTAACGGAATCAGCATAAACAACATCAGATATGCTGATGATACTGTCTTAATAGCAAGCAACGCACAAGAACTACAAAATATAATAAATGCGGTAGTTCACCACAGCGAAATGTTCGGTTTACATCTAAACGTTTCCAAAACGAAAACTTTAGTATTTTCAAAGACACCAATAAACGTACATGTGTATGCCAAGGGTCAAATGATAGAACAGGTAAATTCCATAAAATATTTGGGAGCAAATATCAATAGTCAGTGTAATCCAAAAAAAGAAATACTATCAAGAATCGAACAAGCAAGGAAAACATTCATGAGCATGAAAACATTTTTTACAAGATCAGACCTTAGTCTGCAGCTTAGAATCCGAATGATTAGATGTTACGTTTTTTCTGTCTTACTGTATGGCTGTGAAAGTTGGACAATGGACTCTGAAATAGAAAAAAAATAGATGTCTTTGAGATGTATATATACAGACGAATAGTGAGAATTCCATGGGTACAAAGAGTTATTAATGTTGAGGTACTTCGTGGAATGTGTAAACAAAAAGAATTACTAAAAATAATCAAAGAGAGGAAAATGCAATACTTGGATCATGTGTTCGTCTTCTTCTTTTCTACTTTTGTAGATCTTTCGATCTGTTTAATTCTGAAGCTGCCTTTGGTTAATTTCTTGGGAGGTAGATTGCCAACTATCCCTCCATGTTTTAGGTGGTCTTCCGAGGGGTCTTGACCATGTGTTAAAAGGCGAAAAATATGAATTACTTTAAGTTATACTGGAAGGAAAAGTAAAGGGCAAAAGGTCAGTAGGAAGACGCCAGAACTCATGGCGTCCATTAATAACAAACACAGGGTCACTATAGAAAGAAATAAAACATAGATGTGATCTACCAAAAGTCACCATAGAAAAGGTGGCCTAAATATGGAAGGACTTTCATATTTCACGAACTCTAAAAATGAGGTTGATCGACTGCTTAATACTCAATCTGATTCCCAATATTGAAATACATATCTGAAAGAAGAAAGATAAACGCCACTAAAATGTTCTGTTTAAGAAAAAAGTTACGAATTCCGTCTTCGACCGAACACAGGACAAATATTTTAATTTTAAATGAACTTAAAGTCAGCAAACAGCTATCAAGTAAAGTCCATCTCCAACAATTAAAATACTTTGGACATGCGATGTTATTCGATTCTTTACAAAATATCATCAGGTTTGGGAATAACGACGAAGATATACAGAAAGCAAAAACCGATAAAGTTTTTCATCTCAGAAAGGCAAAAGTAGCGAGAGATTCGCTTAACAAAGATAAAAATTTAGCTGATGAAAACATTTATGTTGTTACATTTGATCTACAAAAGCTAAGTGTTTTCCCAAACTAAGCTCGTTCCCAACAACAAGGGATTAATGTTTATCTGGGACGAAACAGAGAGATTTCGAGGTTCACAATAAAATGAATCCTGCCTGAAAAACATTTGAAAATGAATGCAGGAAATTGTAATATCATTTTATATTCGGACTCTTGTACAGGCCAGAACCGAAATATTAAACTAAGTCTCTCACTGCTCAAACTCGTACAAGACCCTGACATGAACGCTACTTCAATCGACCATAAATTTCTCACCTCAGATCATAGCTACCTTCAGAATGATGCAGATTTTGGGGTTATTGAGTCAAAGGCAAAGAATAAAGAGTTTATTTATGGTCCTGAAGATTGGATCAATTTCGTATCCACTGCTAAGAAGACTAATCCATTTCAAATAATTGAAATGAAACATGAAGAATTTCTTTCTACAAGAATGTTGGAAAACAGCATCATTAATAGAAAAAGCGATAATACAGTGGGAAAGTTTCCTGGTTGAACATAAAATGGCTCAGATATTCTAAAAATAAACCGGAATCTATTTTCTGTTAAGAAACACTGCAAGAAGATTTACCATTTTACGATATTAACATTGCAAAAATTCGAAAGGAAGACACTAAGTTCTTTAATATTGTTCAGAATCAACTCTACCCAAATCGTAGACCTGTCAAAGATCTAAAAAAAGAAACACATGTTTATTTGCTTCCTTACATTCCACCGCACTACCACAACTTTGATTTGTCACAGATTTTCCAGTAATAGAAAGGGATAAACCTCGAGCTCCAACTTCAGTGATCGACCAACTTGAGTCTAATAATGATTGTGACGATTCGGATAATTACATAGACTAACTGCTTTTCCGTTATTTTATTTTTTAGTTTAGTAGACCCTTAGCATTAGTCATTTTTTTTTCTTTAAATGTATACAAACTTAATGCATTTAACTTAATTATTTAATTTTCCAGGTGTCATATTACGGAAATGGACTGGATGCTGGCCAATGTGGTGTCACCCTTCACCGTGTCGAAGAAAAACATAATGGGCCTATTAAATGTACTCTTGGTATACCAAGTGAAACTTCGGAATCAGTAGGAGTCATGCAGCTGATTGTAGGAAGTAAGTAAACTTTAACAGATTTTTAATGGTTTTGGGTTGCTTGATTCCTTTAGCCACGAAAATTTAAGAGTATTATATAATAATTTTTCAGTATAATTAATTAAACTAAACGGTAAATATTACAGGCACGCAAAAAGGGTATGAAAATCTTCTGTTTGCTAAGCAGAATTACACATGAAGCATCAGAAATAAAACTAATATTAGTGACAGAGTAATCTACTCATTTTTACCATGTTGAGTCTGGCTGAATGACTAAAAGTCTATGCCAATAAAAAAAAAAAATCTACTCATTCAGATACAATATGTGTAAAAGGGGGCAATGTCGACAGAACAATATGCAGATTTTTCGAACATCTAGAGGTAACGAGTGAATATATTGTCTGCAAATGCGAAGTTATTATTTGTTAACCTACTTAATATCTAAGATAGGTCTTTTTAGATCCTGATTACGGAATAAACTCCAAAAGGAATATTAGGCTTTCTTAGAATTCTAGATCATTTAGAGCAAACACACAAAATCTTTCAGGTTACAATGTGTAATCATCTGCGAGGCCAAACGACGTTTGAAATCTACCATTTAAAATTTACATCCTAAAGATTTTAAAATAAACTTATTTTAAAATAATTAATAATTAGTATTTTAGACAGATACATTGGATGTCCAGAAAGTAAAAAACGTTTTGGCATAAAAAATTAAAAACAAAAAATATCAATGCCAAAGTCACAGCACCATAGGATATTTTTGAATGTAGTTGCCATGGCTGTCCAGCTATTTATTGTATGGTGGAATCAGTTTTTCGATGCCGGTGTTGTCCTCTACCTCCAAACGACTAAGCCATGAATCACTTTATCTTTGAGCTCTCCATAGTTTCCAGACTCCTTTTCACCCAAGAATTCCTTCAATTTCGCAAACAGATAATGATTGAGAAGAGCGAGATCTCGGCTGAAGGGAGGGTGTTTAAAAATTTATCAGTGTAGACGTTTTGTAGACGTTATGTGCTTGTCGATATATGGAGCTGAGCATAGTCGTGAATCATAAACACCTTCATCGAGTTTCCACGTTGTTTATTCTGTATTGCATGTTTTTATCGTTGAGAAGTTTCGCAATAGGCTTCTAAATTTATTGTTTCACTCCTAGTCATATGACGTGAACTAAATAACTTTAACAGCAGAGCAAATGTTTTAATAATAAATGTTTCTATAGATAATAATATATACTAATGCCCATTTTAATTGAACTTAAAGTAATACTTTTTTTTTGATAGGTCTTTAAAAAAAAAGTTACTTTGGATGTATGTAGTATGTAGTGAACTGGAATATATCTTTCGTATTTATAATGGCGACACATTAAAAAAAAAAAACAAAAAAGTATTTATAAAGTCTCAAGTATGTCCCGCTTTTTCTTTATGGTAAAATTCTTTACATTTTGCCGGCCTTTTATATTTAATTTGTGTTTTGTAGCAATATTTATTTTGTTTGTAATACACACAATCAAATCGTAGATTCATATATTTCTTTAATTAATTTTACAAATTACTTATTAATTTTCAAAACACGTTTTCACAGAAAGTAACTAGTTATGACTTCTTAGTGCAAGATATGACATCGAGGTATACTTACCGTTAACAGTTTAAGTTTTGAAGTTGTTCGTTACACTAATGGAACAACATTGCCATATGATGCATCGTTAAAATATGATACATACAAGTCCCTTGGCTTTGTCTCGCTATGAGGACATGCGCAAAGTCAATTAAAATTAGAACAGCAAGTGAGCATATCTTGTTGTTATAATATCATGCTTTCTGGGTGGCTCACCTACTATTTCAAAATTATGTAGCTTCAAAAGTGGCGCGCTCTAGATATATGTTGATTCGTTTATTACATGTTGTTCTATTTTTTAGAGGCTCCCAAACAACCTGAATTGGACTTAAGCAGAGGAACCGACTCTTTGAGGGTATACAAAATAAATGACCATTTGGACGCATCCTGTATAGTTAGAGATGGACGACCTGTGGCTAATATTAGCTGGTTTTTAGGTAAGTAGTTTATATTATGTTATTAAATTTATGATGACAGTAGTTTAAATACAGCTGACAAACTAAAAATGTTCAAATACCGCAATTAATTAAGATACAGACAACAAGCATTTTAAAACATTTATGATATTTGTGCGATTTTGTTATACGATTTAAACTCACTGCGTACACTCCAGGTTGAGTAAACTGAAGAGACAGATTCAGACCCAAGAAAGTTATTAGAAATGTCACCAAAAACATCTTCTTTTTTGGTTGATTATCTCGGCCTTACGCTAATCCAGTAATTAGAATCGGAAAACCTCACACGTCGATTCTAACCCAACTTTGTTTACTTTTTCCAAATCACTTCCAATATAATTTTTTTTGTTTTTCTAATTACAATAAAAAAATGTAGGATTGTTATGAAGAAGTTGAAGAATTTTGAGAGTTTATTTATTACATTGTAAAAGAAAATAAATATTTTTTTATTTCACTTACAATTTTATTGTAAGTGGCATTTCATTCTTGAAAAAGAAGCTGCGTACTATCTATCGTATATATGGTTTAACTCTTCATCGTATGTTGCAAGCATAGAAGGTCGACCGCCAATATTTTTAGGACATCCTACTGTTTCAGTCTGCTTATACTCCTTAATTGTTCTAAAAATAGTTAAATTCGAAACACTTAAAAATAGCACATTTCTTTAGTAATACTTAATTTTAACAATAACTATTCTGCAAAACTAAGCTTAGAATGCATTGTTTTTCATTTGATTATAAATGATCCAAATCTACTCGGCGTTTTTTAGGTGGAGAAGCATAATTACCACTAGTACTTGATTGAATCCATATTGTTATCTTAATAACACCAATACGTTGCTAAATAGTTCTGAAAATAACTGTTTTTATATAAATGCAAACGAAAAATCTAAAAATTATAACATCTAATAAAAGGAATAACACAGAAAACACAAAACGTTTATATAAATTTTATATAAACGTTTATATAAACGTCGATATAAATTTTAAATTGGAAAATTTTATAAAGGTCAGTGTCAAAATGTCATAATTTAGTGTAGTAAACTTGCCTGCGGTTGAACCAATTACAAACAAGCATTACCGCGCGGTAAATTTGAATTACTCCTCCTGGTTAAAAAACAAATTATAGTAGTTTTAAGTGTTTTGTTTTTCGAACTTCGAAGTTTCAACGCAAGGCGGCATTTCTGCTACAATTTTTTTTTAAGATATTTTTAGTAGAATCCACAAGTAGAAAACAATTCCTGTAGCTGGCTGTATACCACGTATCACAAAAAAGAGGTTAGTCTTCGTAAGTGGGTATATTTATTTAAAAACCCATAAAAGGGCCACATTTGTGTTTCTTTAAACAACCATTGTCTAAACTTTTGCCACACCTTCCCCTCATAACTTTTCGACCCTATTGTTAACTATTTTACCATTTTCTTCACTCTTCACATCTACATCACATTCCTGTCCATTCTTTTCTCTTTCATTATTTCTTGGTCAACTCATATATCAAACATATACTCAATAGTTTTTACTCAGTAATCATTCAAACATTATCTAACCGTTTATCAAAATTCATAATTTTCCCCTATTACAAAAAAAAATCCGTATCCAACATTGCTCATCTTGGTCAACAACTACTCATACATCAAATTTTAGGTTTTTACAAACTGAATTTATTACTACTAAAATAGATTTTGTCCAGGGTGCTAGATGCTGTAAGCATGAAGGACCTCTATTATCTCTAATTGTTGATTAACTCCTTTTCTCCTTTAACTATCCCCTTCTTCTTCAGTCATTTCCTGTACTTTTATTCTCATCAAGTCTCCGAGGAGCTCAGCCTCTTCAATTTTAAATTTAATCACATAGGTTATAACTCTAATTTCTTCAGCCTGTAGATTTTCAATTTACTAAACTTATTTTTATTAATTTTTTCACCATACGAGCAGTCTTAAATAAAGTCATTTAAATACGAGGTCTTATATTAGCTTCAAAAATTTGCTATTAAATTTTTACCTTGTCCTAGATGTGATAAACATAAAAGGATATTTTATATATATATATATATATATATATATATATATATATATATATATATATATATATATATATAAGCTAATCTAACATAAAATACACTTTTAGACCACATTCCATACGACAAAAAGTAACATAGGTTGCCTAATACACAGTACCTACAGACTTTAACACCATCGGTGATTTCACATCTATTATAACCCAAATTTTTAAATCCCAACACCTAGATTGCTGTTATTATTTTTTAAAATCATCAAAATAATTTTTTGAATCTTTTGGTTGTAGTAATACTAGGTATAACTAATATAGTTCCATGTTACATTGACATTTTGTTTTCGACACCGTTCATAGGTATATTGTCAATCAGTTTCCAGCTGTTCTCCGTGTGTAGAGGTTTACTCTCCGGCTCTGGAACTCACTTCAGCAATGTATGTTACCTGAAGTCATATTTAATTTAATACTGAACATCACAGTTTTTTAACAACAAGATGTATAATCTTTTACAACTATATGTAATTTAAAGGGTTTTTACCCATGTATTTTGGTGGCTCAGGCATTTTAACCTAGTAAGTATAGCCATTTTTGCTTTTTAACCATAGTCAAAATTTCATAACCACGTTTGTTTTAACTAAATGGTTTATACTTATTTTAGGCAATTTTAAAATTTAAACCTGATGATGGACTGTTTAGTCCGAAAACGTTTGTTTTTTTGATGTAGCCCTTTTAAGGGTTTTTAAATAAATATACCCACTTACGAAGACTAACCTTTTTTTTATTTTTAGTAGGATTGTAATTTCCACTATCTTCATTATATTCTCCATTCAATATTGATTGTGTTTTTTTTTCTATTAGAGATCCTTATTTTCTTTTTCGCGAATAAGAATTATTTCGTAGGTTATATTTTCGCTATTTCTGTTTTTAAGTTTCTATTACATATTATCGAGGGAAAACAGGAATTATCGTAGGAAACTTTAAGTTAGGAAAAAGAAATAAGAGGGGCAATATACTACTCCAGTACTAGTAGGTTTGGTCAAGATTTGGTCAAAACAAATACGTACTACGACTTACCCCGACGAAATACGTCTTCTCCCAAAGATAACAACAATATAATATGTATATATACAGTCAAGACTGTGTCAACGGCCACCTGTCAAAAGCAGTTACCTGCACCAACGGCCAGTTTCGAAATTGCCCTAATTGATTATATGTAGATTATGCAAGATTTGCATATAATAAATTACTCTATTTTACAAACAACTCTGTCAATAACATTGTATAAAGAATAATATACCTACGCCACTTATTGCAATATTTTTACTCGTGCATAAATAAAACATTTTACTTATGCGTGAATACATTATGAAGTTTTGTGTTCTAACATTATACTGTTTTATAATAAAACATTTTTCCACTTTCCAGCTAGGAAAATTTTATGTTACTTAAAAAGTTTATATAGAATATAGTTATGTATATATAACAAGGTATATTTAACTACTGTTGTCTTTTTCAAGGTTTTATTTTCCCATCTTTATTTCCCATTTTATTTAGAGACTTAAAAAGTTTATTACCTAAACGAGTTTACAGTTACATGAAAATTCTATTTAAATTCATTTTTTTATTGGCATGTTCTGTCTTGTTATGTTATTACTTTTTTTACTTGATTAATTGAGCAAATTAAAAACATAACTTAATTTTTCTCAAGGTAGAAAATCCCCTAATATTAACCTATGTTGTGTGGTTCCAAAGATTTCCTAGTTGTCCTTTATCGGAATAGAGAAAAAGGATAATAATAAAAATAGTATGTTACAAAAAATTGGTATTCTTTATTTTATTTAAAGAAGAATAAAACAATTATCAAATTTTGCCGTTATCTTATCAATCAGCGTAAATGAATACAATAAAATTTACACAAAAAGAATATTTTAAGTCTTCTTGAAGACAAAACCAATTTAAAGCCAATTTCAATGAATATCTTTAAAACTTTTTATCTTTCTGATTTTTCCATATTTACTTTATTTCAAAAACTAAACTTTAAAACATTTTACAAATGAAGTCTACTATTGAGTTAAAATGGTAACGACAATAATGTCAACAAAATTAATTCAGTTACTATATTTTCCATGAACCATGAACTAAAATCAATGCTACAAGATTTAAATCACAAATCGAATCAAATAGGATTAAAAATGAATCTCGACAAAACAAAGATATTAAGCAACAGCCTAGAAAACATCACTATAGATAACATCAATATAGAAAAGGTAGACAAAGACAAAGGTAGAAAAGGACATGCAATTAAAAACGAAAAGGAAAATCAAACCCTAGAAATTAAAAGAAGGACACAATTGTCATGGGCTGCTTTTGGTAAGTTGAGCTTCATTTCAAAAGACAGAAAAATCCCAATTCACTTAAAACGAAAAACCTATGACACTTGTATACTACCAGTTGCAACTTATGGATTGGAAACTATAGCAATAACAAGAAAAATGGCAGAACAATTAAGAGTAACTCAACGGGCCATGGAGAGAGCCATGTTAAATATAAGCCTCAGAGACAAAATTCCTAACACCGAAATACGTCGAAGAACTAAAGTAACCGACATCATGGGAAAAATAGCGACATTGAGATGGCAATGGGTAGCACATGTAGCAAGACAAGACACCAACAGATGGTCTCATAAACTGACAATTCTGGAGACCTCGAGAAACAAAAAGAAGCGTGGGAAGACCTAAAAAGAGATGGATAGACGATATAACTGCTGTAGCTGGAAAGCAGTGGATGAGAATTGCAAAAGATAGGAAAGCGTGGAAGCAATTGGAGGAGGCCTATGTACAACATTGGATAAATGAAGGCTGAAGAAGAAGAAGAAGACTATATTTTCAATTCTGAACAGAAAATTCACTGACCTTTCCTTCTGTTACGATTTTAAATGTTATGGCATATAGAACTGTAAATATTTTATGA